ATGCTGTTAATCGCAGGATTGTGCCATTCTTGTTTTGCTTGCCATTTCCAAACCGCGCATCCTATTCCGGTGATCTTTATATCGATTTCGACCGAAATCAACCCATCTTTCCAGCGGCACTCTTGGTTTTCCAAGTTGAGGCCTGGTTCAATCTTTCCCTTCCGGAGCACGCATATGCATTGCATATCACCTCCCGCATATCATGCCATGTTTTGCATCATGTTGCTTGCGCATTGCACCGTGGTTGATTGTTGTTTCCTTTGCTTGTGTTCTTGCCTTGGGTAGAGCCGGAAGACGAGTTCGTCCTCGAGGTACCCGTTGAGTACGCTTACAAGGATCAAGCTTTCGTCTTCTCGGAGAACTTTGCAGGCAAGATGACCATACCCTCGAAATCACTTCTATCTTTGCTTGCTAGTTGCTCGCTCTATTGCTATGCCTATGCTACAATACTTACCACATGCTTATCATGCCTCCCATATTGCCATGTCAATCCTCTAACCCACCTTGTCCTAGCAAACCATTGTTTGGCTATGTTACCGCTTTGCTCAGCCCCTCTTATAGCGTTGCTAGTTGCAGGTGAAGATGAAGTTTGTTCCTTGTTGGAACATGGATATTTTGTTGGGATATCACAATATCTCTTATTTAATTAATGCATCTATACACTTGGTAAAGGGTGGAAGGCTCAACCTTATGCCTGGTGTTTTGTTCCACTCTTGCCGCCCTAGTTTCCGTCATACCGGTGTTTTGTTCCTTAATTTTGTGTTCCTTACGCGGTAGGGTTATAATGGGAACCCCTTGACAGTTCGCCTTGAATAAAACTCCTCCAGCAAGGCCCAACATTGGTTTTACCATTTGCCACCAATCCTTTTTCCCTTGGGTTCTGCAGACTCAAGGGTCATCTTTATTTTAAACCCCCGGGCCAGTGCTCCTCTGAGTGTTGGTCCAACCTGTCAGCCGCCGGTGGCCACCAGGGGCAACTCTGGGCTGGCCTACCGGAACCTTGGACAATCCGATGTGCCCTGAGAACGAGTTATGTGCAGCTCCTATCGGGATTTGTCGGCACATCCGGGTGGCTTTGCTGATCTTGTTTTACCATTGTCGAACTGTCTTGTAACCAGGATTCCGAGCCTGATCGGGTCTTCCTGGGAGAAGAAATATCCTTCGTTGACCGTGAGAGCTTGTGATGGGATAAGTTGGAACACCCCTGCAAGGTTTTGAACTTTCGAAAGTCGTGCCCGCGGTTATGGGCAGATGGGAATTTGTTAATGTCCGGTTGTAGAGAACTTGACACTTAACTTAATTAAAAATGCATCAACCGCGTGTATAGCCGTGATGGTCTCTTTCCGGCGGAGTCCGGGAAGTGAAAACGGTGTTGGAGTTATGCTTGAACGTAAGTAGTCTAGGATCACTTCTTGATCATAGATTCTCGAACGTGCTTTGCCTTCTCTTCTCGCTCTCATTTGCGTATGTTAGCCACCATATATTCTAGTGCTTGCTGCAGCTCCACCTCACATACCTTTTCCTACCCATAAGCTTAAATAGTCTTGATCGTGAGGGTGTGAGATTGCTGAGTCCCCGTGACTCACAGATTACTTCCAAAACCAGATTGCAGGTGCCGATGATAACGTGCAGGCGACGCACCCGAGCTCAAGGAGGAGCTCAATGAAGACCTTGTTCGTTGTGATGTTTCGTTTCCAGTTGATCAGTAGCGGAGCCCAGTTGGGCGATCGGGGATCTTTTGCATTAGGGGTAGTCTTCTTTTATTTTGGTTCCGTAGTCGGACCTTGTTTGTATCTGGATGATGTAATGCTTTATTCATGTATTGTGTGAAGTGGCGATTGTAAGCCAACTCTGTACCTCTTTCTTATTCAGTATATGGGATGTGTAAAGATTACCCCTCTTGCGACATGCCTACAATGCGATTATGCCTCTAAGTCGTGCTCCGACACGTGGGAGATATAGCCGCATCGTGGGTGTTACACATGGTTTGATGACTGCCCTGCCACATTGTCATGGCCCATAGGGTTAGGCCCATGACTTGTCTGCGTGTAGTAAACAGAGCGCCCATTTTCTGTCCAATTTCCTTGCGGTATACTGGGTTGCTGCTCATCCATATCATGAGGAAGCTCATTGAGATCAGGAGGCAACTCATTGAGATCAAGCATTTTTTCTTTTTTTGGCTGCTGCCACACATCCACTGCATATAAAAAAGAAGGAAGTGATGTCAAGTTTTAATCATCAAAGAATGTTTCAAACAACCTAAAAACTTAGTAAATAGGCAGTTGCACACCATTTTATAACAATCTTAGTTCCAAAATCAACATGTCTATAACATAATATTTTATTATAACATGTATGCATTTTTTTGTTTGCACAGACTTGTTATGTTAGTTGCACAGTTTGTAGTAAATAGTTGGCAAGAACATGACCTTTTTTACTATAGAGTTTTTCTGACTTTTTCCTCCGTTTGTTGCAACGATCCACAGGTTTTCTGTTGGCAAGGAGCTGATTTAGATTTTTCTGCACATAATTTGGACACAATTTGATGCTACATTTTGAGATGGAAAATCCAAGTGAAAGAAGAAAGAAGAATTGGATGACACACTATAGATATATGTTTTTCATTGCCATTTCTGTTTTTACTTCCAGTATATTTGAACATATTTTTACACTATAGCTTTGCAATAGGTGTACTACCAGAATATATGTTTGGGTCAAGTATATATGCGTGACTACTTTAATATGGTTTATGGCTATAATAACCTTGTTTATTTCTCTGTTGCACAAATTGCTGGAGAAGTTGCTATTAATCATTGTGTGGTTTTCATAAAAGTTCTTGTGTTTTAGCTGTTGTACTGCAGATTTTTGGTTTTAGCTAGAATAGATCTTTCAGTTGGCCAGGATGCATATATTAGTTGGCCAGCATGCATGTTTAGTTGGACTGTCAATGTGTTCAGTTGGCTAGAATACATGTTTCAATTTCTCAGGATGCATCTATCAGTTGGCCAGCATGCATGTTCAGTTGCACAGTCAATGTGTTCAGTTGGCTAGAATAGATGTTTCAATTTCCCAGGATGCATATATCAGTTGGCCAACATACATGTTGAGTTGCAGAGTCAATGTGTTCAGTTGGTTAGAATAGATGCTTCCGTTGGCCAGGATGCACATATCAGTTGGCCAGCATGCATATTCAGTTGCACAGTCAATGTGCTTAGCTGGCTAGAATAGATGTTTCAGTTGTCCAGGATGCATATAACAGTTGGCCAGCACACATGTTCAGTTGGCTAGAATCATGTTTTAGTGGCGTGCATATATCAGTTGGCCAACATACAGGGGGAGGGGAAACTTGCCTGGCATGCATGTTACAAAACACGTTTAATTTTGATCTCAAACCATGTTTAGTGTGCAGATGCACTCATGGGGGTGGGAGGTGGTGTGATATTGACAATGGGGTGATGTGGCAGATCCACTCCTTTTTTGTAGCAACTTCTTCATGGATTTGCTGATAAATTCATGGAGAAGGGTGTTTATAGATACAATACAAGAAGGGGGAGAACTGAAGAGGGGCAGAGAGGAATTACTTGCCTGATGTTGCTGCCTGGTATGGCTCTGATCACCCTGCCCTTTAGATCAACTTGTTAAAGCAGTTTCTTTTACTTTTGGGCTGCTATGACGGCTGTATAGAAGGAGGAAGAAGAAGCCTTGGATCCCTTCTTTCGTGGAGGACAAAAAGACAGCATTGGAGGGGATGGGGCGTGGGAGGAGCTGAGACGTGGGGGCACGTGAGCGTGGGGACATCTGGCCACGTGAGGATCGTCTTTTCTGTTTCGGATTGGGTGCTCCATCACCTCGGTTTAATGATCGCCTGTCTCTTTCCTTTTCTGTACCGCGTGGGGATAGGGGCTTACCTTTTTAGGTCGGCCGCCCGATCGTATTAGTGGGCAGCCGGCCGTTCACTAGACGCGTCCTAACCTGAAACCCGTGTTACAGCTATAGCTATTATCAGAGGCGGATTTAGGGCCTAGGCAGCTGCCCCGGACGTAAAGACAATTTCCTTCGTTGAGCATGCGGCTTGGCATATTTCTAGGTCCGTCATCTGCTGCTATTGTATTTGTCTTCTCTCTTCTTTAACTCATCATGAATTTGATATGACACCTCTTATAACCCACCACCCTATATCATATCGAGTACTTACTTTTAGCCTTTATGGTAATCTTTTTGGACGCTAATAACTGCCATATGTGTGGCATATACGACATGCGTCCACACATCGTGTGTGGTGTGAGCAGGAGACAGCCCACATGGGTTGTGTGTGGGCGGACAGAATTGACCATATGTGTGGGCGCGGCTACTTCGTGCCACACGCCCAACAAGTACTACTCATCTTCACCCCGTGCGTCTCGCACGAAGCAAAAATGCCCACACGTCCTGACGCTGCTACGTTAGGTACCCCGCGGGATGACGATTTAGTTGCCATCCTGGTTGGCAGATGTAGTTATCCGGGATGGCAAATGTAGTTGTAAAAGCATGGCAACTCTATCTATTTTGGTTAACTATAGTTGCCATGTCTAATTTATGGTAGTTGTCGTGTGTAATCAAACCGTAGTTGCCGTGTGTGATTAACTACTTGCCACATATGGTCAAAACAGTAGTTGTCATGTATGTTTACCTAGTTGCCACGTGTAGTCCAACCATAGTTGTCATGTATTGTTAATCACAGTTGCCATGTGTGTTTATCTGGTTGCCACGTACGCGCAAATGCAGTTGCTGTGTAGCAAAGAAATACAGTTGCTATGTGTGTGTACCGAGTTGCCACGTTCGCGTAACTGCAGTTGCCATGTAGCAAAGAATCGCAGTTGCCATATGTGTGTACCGAATTGCCACGTTCGCGTAACTGCAATTGCCATCCACAAGATAGTAGTGTCGTGTGGGCGAAAAGCAGTTCGTCTACACGCGCATGACCTAGTTGGTGGCTGTGCGAAAAGCAGTTCGCCCACACAATGCAGCTGGCAAACAGCGTGGTGCGGGTGTGTGGGCAAATTCTTCAACGCCCACACACCAGCCCCGTCCTACGTGGCACACCAAATCCACTTTTTCGTGCCAAGATTCGTGCAAAAGACAGTGAACGACGATCCAGGCATGTGGGCGAGTTGGGTAACGCCCACACGTGTGGGCAAGTTGGGTGGGCGTTAGTGTTTTTGATTTTTTTTATGATCAGGCCTTCATTGCAATCCTGCTGTTGGTTTAACTCTGAAGTGAGCACGCAAACGGAAACGGAAACGTAACATCAATATAAACGAACACCTGGGCACCGAGACCGCGGAAACGTATTCAGACCAGGCCAGACTCGCTGGAAATAGCGAGG